AACATTGGAAATGACTTATATAAGGGATGATCCTTGTGCTACAGAAATAAGGTGCATCTCAAAAACTTATAAAAGAAGTTATTGTAACATACAAAAACCCTCCAATCTATCATCTCGACTTTGAGATGTATGAATATAAAAAAAATAAAATAAAAATGTATCTTTTAACACATTATTTGGAACATCTGTTTTTAAGATTTTTGAGTGTATATGGACATACTTGATCTATACTATTTTTAGAGTTTTAAATTATATAAGTAAAAGTAAACAATGATACCATTTACTTTTGGTACAAGGTGGTCACAATTAATCTTGACCATTGGATTTGAATTTGGATGGTTGCATTTATTTCATTGATCAAGTTCAAAGTTCAAAAGAAATTCTCTCGAACTTTGTGACACACCAAAACTATCAGATTTCTCATTGAATGGTTGTACGTAATTGTGACCTCCTTTTACCAAAGCTAAATGATCTTATTGTTTACAATCCTATTTTATAATTAGCAATATAAACAGGGAAAAGTTTATATAGAGCCGAGGCTCTAAACAATCAAATTTGAGCCTATTTAAAAAATTCACTAGAAGAGGTTGTTTTGATGTCCAAATATCCTCAAATTGATCATCTTGACATCAAGATACATAGACATGAAAAAAAAAATAGATTTCAAGTTTTGAAAGTAGTGTATTTTGTAACGCATTTTTGGACCGTCAATTTTCAAGATTTTCATAGATTTATCGATCTACACTTTTTTTGAAGTTTTGAACTTTATAAATAATGATGAAAATATATTTTAAAGCTATCACAAATCTTTCCAATATTGAAACCACATTTCTTGATACTATTTGAAAGTAGGCTCGAATTTAATTGTTTAGAGCCTAGGCTCTGTACCAACCGCACCCACATAAATAATGTTGACACTTTGTAAACACACCCTAAGCCACACCCTTTAATATTTCATGTGTATATTAATACAACCAAACCAACAATTCTCACTCATAATAATGTGTCCTTTCTACAAAAAATAAGTAGGTGCTAAATACTTAAACTCTAGAGTAGTGTTTGATAATTTTTTATAGGAAAGTATATATTGAGACCATTTATTCTTGGTATAAGATGGCCACAATTAATCTTGATCATTGGATGTGACATTAGATGACTGTATTTATTCTATTGATCAAGATCAAACTTCAAAAGAAATTTTCTTGAACTTTATAACGCATCCAACCTATCAGATTTCATATCCAATGGCTATAAATAATTGTGACCGCAAGGTAAATGGTTTCATTGTATATGATACCTTTTTTTGTTTTCCAAAATAAAAATTCTAAACCTATGTGATGGCGAAAATGGTTTTTAACAGTGACCTATGTGGTCATATTATGGTCATCTGGGTCATCATTCATCCATTAAATGGATGAATGGCAATGATGGTGGACTGATATGAAATGGGAACCAATCCCTCCATCATCCTCCAACCCAACAATAGACAGTGATTAACCCTATGATCATACTTTCACCATAGTAACAGTATACTTACCCAAGAGATTTATGGATATTTTAGTTAATTTATATTTTTAATACTTCCTTATCTATATTTGTCACAGACATGCCGGCCTTAGCCTGGAAGTCATCCTACTTTATTATCTTAGCAATGAAAAGTGAACCCAAATATTTTTTTTTTTTATAAAAAGTGAAACCCTTGACAAAGCCAACTCCTCAAATTCGTGCCTCTCTCTGAGGACATTCTTATCTTCTCTCTCCAAGGAAAGAACCATTGATTCCTCTTTATGGGGCACCTCAAAATGGCTTGGTTTTCTCTCTCTAGAGGGTCATGGCCTGCCCTCAAGCCCGACTACAATGTTTGGGGTTCATTCAGCCAAGAGTTATTTCTTCCTCTTACTGATAACTGTTGGGGCCATTATAGGCCTAAGAATTATTTTGTATTCCATCTATGCTTTGTTAACATGTAGAAGTATGACTGGAAATATTTACGGAGGGCATGAATCAGGTGGAGAAGAAGAGCTCCCAACCCACTTCAACAATAATATTAGGAACAATATTGATGGGTTAGAGAGAGAAAGGGATAATAACCAGCATCAAGAAGAAGGTCAAGAGCAAGTGCAAGCAAGGAATTATAGAGTGAAAGAGGGAGGAGAGAGTAAGCTTGTTATTTTAGCAGGGGAGAACTATCCAGCTTATATAGCCGAGCCCTGCCCATTGTCAATTCAAACCCATGCAGTAATGTTGTGACTCTCTCTCTCTCTTAATTCTTTTAGCTCAAGTTCATGGTTGGGGAAATGGCTTTCTAATTTTAGTTTGGGTGGGGTTTGTATAAGACGCCCTCCTTATACTATGAATTTTGCTTGAAGTTGTAGTTCGAGTCTCATAAATTGAAAAATTTTTAGTCATGAAATTTGAAATTCTAAATATGGTACATGTCGTGGGGATCTACAAACACTTGAAAATTTTAAAAATAGATGGTCTGGATAATTTGTTACAAGATATACTATTTTTAGGACTCGA